TCAGAAGAATCCGATGAGGAAGAGGAGTCCGAAGAAGAACTTATAAGCCATGAGGAAATCGAAATGCCAAGCGAAGAACATACTGATGATGAACCGACAATGCCAAAGGAAACTGATAAGCCTGGTGAGAAAAAGTGATGTTGGAAGAATAGGTGCATCATCAAAACGAACTTTACCAAATTCCAATATTTTCGCTAATTTATCGAATTATTTATTACAAGCAGTCTTTTATCTTTTTACAAGCAGTTATCATGGGTCTTAACGTTCACCTATTTTCTCAATTTATCATCATTTTTTTTTGGAATTTTCATAAAGCGCATCTCTAAATTGCGTTTTCTCCATCAGGTAGTTCATCTCCTGTTTCGAAGATTACTTCGGCTGGTCGAGAAAATTTTTTGAAGAAGCTTAATGACATTCGGACGAAAGTTGCTATGGGCCAGTTCTCGACATCAGATGGAACGTATCCAGCAGCCAAGGAGATGTACAAACTGGTTATTACTAATGTTTATTAATGTTTATTGATATTTTATTAATGTTTTATATAATTTTTATAAATAATATTCTGTCAAATACCGTGTGCAATCCGTTCAGTGAAGAATTAGAAGAGAAATCAGAAGAATCCGATGAGGAAGAGGAGTCCGAAGAAGAACTTATAAGCCATGAGGAAATCGAAATGCCAAGCGAAGAACATACTGATGATGAACCGACAATGCCAAAGGAAACTGATAAGCCTGGTGAGAAAAAGTGATGTTGGAAGAATAGGTGCATCATCAAAACGAACTTTACCAAATTCCAATATTTTCGCTAATTTATCGAATTATTTATTACAAGCAGTCTTTTATCTTTTTACAAGCAGTTATCATGGGTCTTAACGTTCACCTATTTTCTCAATTTATCATCATTTTTTTTTGGAATTTTCATAAAGCGCATCTCTAAATTGCGTTTTCTCCATCAGGTAGTTCATCTCCTGTTTCGAAGATTACTTCGGCTGGTCGAGAAAATTTTTTGAAGAAGCTTAATGACATTCGGACGAAAGTTGCTATGGGCCAGTTCTCGACATCAGATGGAACGTATCCAGCAGCCAAGGAGATGTACAAACTGGTTATTACTAATGTTTATTAATGTTTATTGATATTTTATTAATGTTTTATATAATTTTTATAAATAATATTCTGTCAAATACCGTGTGCAATCCGTTAGTGTTTTCTACAATTTTCTTTGGACCATATTTTAATTCTAATTTTATTCGAAGAGATGGAATTCCACATTGGAGAAGCTGGCTCAGGAACACGTAGACAAATGCCATTATGATCGTTCCGAATATTTCCTCAAGTATTTTTATGGCGATGGCGTTGGTGAAACTTTGTTTGCGAACTGGACTCTTGAAAACGACCCCAAAGGTGTGCTTTTATTTTCTAATCAACGAAATCTGCAAAGTTTTATATTTATATGAAGTTATTATTTTAAAAAACACTACAATTCCACCAATTTTTCTGGTGATTTGCATGAAATACGATTCTGCCAACCTTTAAGATAAATAAAATGGTAGATAAAATGTGAAACTGTTAATTAACGCAGTAGGTACCTAAGGTATATACTGTTAAGTTCAACCGATGAGTAGAAATGAGTATGTTTTTCCTTTCTATATAAGTCAATCAAAAGCGACCAATCAATAATTATTTACTTTAATTTATATCATATCAGAAAAGATATTTTGCAGACGATATACTATCAGTGGCGGTGGATGAGTGGTTAAAAAGTAAGCCAATGGGAGAAACAAGTTTATTAACGGACAAATATATCAATTCTTCGAATGAAAATTTAGCTCAGGTTTTATTCATTCCTTTTCTTTGAACGATACCTTCGAAAATTGCCTGGCACACTGCGAGGGCTAGTCGTTTCCATGATTCAGTCCCACCAAAATGCCTGTAAGCAACACACGGTTCTCGGTTTTCCATCATCAAATCCCAATATGAAGCTAAAACATATTTGCATTCAAAATTTTTCCTGGTCTTATCAATCCTTCTTCCTATTGAGTCTCATTTTACCATTTATCATAAGTTAAGCATAAAAATATCTACCAACTCTTTTTAAAACCAGTAACTTGAACAAAAAATATAGAAGACAAAGACAATTTTTAAGCAAAATAATTCATCTATAATTTTTAAGCCATTTCCTGACCGACACATTTCATTTCAGTTAATCACGGCGCGCACGACAGAAATTGGCTGTGGAGTATCATTTTGTGAATATCCCCAACATCGTCCATACTACTTACAATTTATTACTTGCAATTACTATCCAAGGTAAAAATTTAATACATAGGAATTTCCTTCTTGTGCTTCTGTTGGTCATAACATTTTATTTTCAACGCTTATAATCGCTGGAATCGAAAAAGAAAGATTTTTCCATGTAATTTAATTGGAATATATTTTAGTGGACAAAAATGGTACACCACGTTGTATGAGAGTGGTGAAAAATGCAAAAGCGATGCGGAATGTACGACGTATGCTTCATCAAAATGTCTGTCATCGGAGGGTCTATGTGAAAGGCAATAGTTCTTTAGTTCTTTCACTTCTTTGTTCTCGATATTTTCATTCGTTTAATGTGATGAAAATACAATTGATTCAACTGCCTTTGTAATACAGTAAGAAATTTAATAAAAATTTGTTTCAACTTTTGCCTTTACTTTTCTCTTTTTATAAGCACTTCATTTTCCTCATTTTCGGATTAAAGCATGACCTCAGACGATCCTTTAGGAAAATTACATGGATTTCAATTTTAGAACACTTTTACTTTAAAGGATCAAATCCATGTTGGCCTCAAGGCACCTCATGAACATTTCGGTCTTACGGGTGTTGTAAAAAGATTTTGAGGATTTTTTCGTCTTTCTGCAGACTGATAAATTTGTAGCTCATCGATATTCTCATTGCGATCGTAACAATTTGCTCGTAATTTGCCTTTCTTATTTCACTATATTAGGTTAAATAATGCCAAAAAATGATGTCTTGCTATGATAGGAAAAAAGTTCATTCATTATAATTTATCGTTTTATTGCAAGAGTGTTAACCGTTTATTTATTATCTAAAGTCAGGCTGGCCACGAGTTCTTAAGATTAGTATAGTATTAATAGAACCTCAAACAAAACAAAAGAAATAAATGAATGAAATATCCTTTCAATTTTCGAAGACAAGAATGGTGGGCCCAAATATGTTCCTTCATGAACTGGTTCATTCAAAAAAGTAATATTAAATAGTATTAATAGTATTATAGTATTTTAATAGTATTTTCTACATTAATGAAACGTGGGATGACCCTACCGATAACCGGGAAGTTTCGACGACTCTGTAGTATTACGCAAGGACAACAAATAGTTTGAATACTCGTGGAGTGAGCTTATCACGCTTGTTCCTTCTTTCGAATTTCTGATAACTAAAATTTACATTAATAATAGAAATATTTCCTTTTTAAATTAATACAGCTATGGAAGCGAATTTACTAATGATCTTTACAACTCGTTGATCAGGTCAAAATTATTATTCGATTATGGAATTGTTGGTGATCTTAATATACCAAACATAGATTGGGAAAATGGTTGTTTGAAAAATAGCAGCAAATTTGAAGAGGACTTTCTAAACTTTTGTACCTATATAATTTTGTGTCAGATTACAAAAAAGATCGTCACCAGGCTATATGTTTCAAAAGCATTCTTTCTGATATGACACCAGTTAAATCTGGTGTTCCGCAAGGTAATTCTACTGCGCCATTGTTTTTTCTATTGTATATAAATGATATCACTAAAGTAATTCTACCATTGTAAATATACTAAACTACCATTTATCTCTACCATTTATCTTTATGCTCATTTGCTTTTATTTGCTTATTCTCATGGTAGATAGCCTAGGATCTCAACAGAGTAGGTAATTGGCTATATGACGGGCAAATTACTCTTTCTTTTCAAAAGTTTTTCATATCAATTCTTCAGAAAGAATTCGATTTTTCTAATTTTTTTATTAATGGTAATATAATCAGAAGAGTCTCACACATTTCCAATCTTGGAATAAGCATGGATGAAAATCTCGATTTCGAACCTTCACTGCAGAACTATGGTGAAGAAATCCTCAGAGATACTAAATATTGTTTTTCGATCGTTTAAGAACAAAATTGAAGAATTTTTTACCAAAATGTTTAAGATGTTCGTTCGGTCTCTTCTTGACTACAATACTACATGAGATATCGCATATCAAGTAAAATAATTGAAAAACTCCAAAAAAATTTTATAAGGCGCCTCTTTTCTAATAGCAGTTTTAATAATAAAAGAAAATTTCTACAGTACAACCTGGTATCTTTCTCAGTACGTCGTATTAAACAAGATTTAATTTATGCTTATAAGATTCTGTATGGTTATGTTAAACTAGGTTGTATTATTAAACTCGATCTTGCTATATGGCTACGAGAATGGTCCAGTATGAATGGAGGATATTAAGAAGTTATTTGAACCACTCATATCTAAGATATTTACGAGTCCGGCGAGTGGATAAAACCTCATGTGATCGCACCCACCTTCATTTAAATATCACTTTCATTAGCAGTGCCATCACAGAACGTCGTCTTCGTTGGCTAAAGCATGTTCTTCGTCGCCAACCACAAAAGTTGACGCATATTTCGTTAGCTGCTAAATTTTGTGATGGGTGGTGTCAAGAACAAGATGGATCAATCACGACCTGGATTTGTAAAGTCAGGAAAGATTTTGAACGTGTAGATGAACCAGCAATGTAGGGTACAATCTAGTTTAACATAACCTAGTAGGTTAAAATTACTAAAATATATGTGTAAAACTCATGATTTCTTTATTATTAATTACTGGAATATATTACTGAACGATATAGCTGGTGCGCCATCCTTAGCCATCTTCAAAAAAGATTAGGTAATATCATTTACGATATTATTTAAAAGTTTACATCATGCAGGAAGTGTGAAATCTCGATTTTTTCCATCCGATTATATACAGCTACTTCGAATTGCACTATATTATATCATTTTATAATTTTCTCTTCAATCTATTAATTTTTATTAATATTTACTTTACTTTTATATTTATAGTCATTTTTTTTTGTTTTCTCTTATCATTAATTTTTATTATTTCTTATTTTAACTTTTGTTATTAATACATACATGCACATGGCGTTTTCGTCCTGCTTGATAGTAAATAATTAAAGAAGAGCCTCGCAGTAGCTTAATAAAATAATTAATAAAATAATAATCGTTCGTAACTATTTATCATTCGCCATTCTCTCTCTTGTTAGCCAAAAAACTCAAAATTTTTATTGCTCCTCAAAAATTAATTTCCAATTAATGATCATTACAAATTTCGAATGAGATATTAAATTTACAAATAAATAATATGGCGATGAAAATTGTTCCGATATTTGTATATATATATATATATATATATACAATAAATGCTAGTAGCCAAGTTATGTGGCTGAATAATTTTAATTTTAATTATTGTTGGTAATTTGAATCTTCGCCAATTCTCTCGATATTTTCTTGCGAAATGGGGAAATTTTAAGGCGTAAAACGTATTAAACGTCACCCGCAGATGCAGGATAATTCTTTCAGTAGCTGTTGGAAATAGCCTTTTGCAAAACATCTAAAAAGCATTGTTATTTATTACTTTTACTTAGTTACTTTTATAGTTACTTTTAGTAACTATGCTCATTTCTTTTGCGATTTTATATAATCTTAAGAGGTTCTTCTTTCGATCATATATAGGAGAAATACTTTCAGGCTGTAATACTGAGCGAACTGCTTTATTTTTCTTGGAGGCAACCAAATTCAATTCTAAATTTAAATTTTTCTTTATATCTTTCTATTTATTCAAGGCTATGAATGCAGCAGGTGAAGAAAAAATCATAACTACGATCTAATAACTTCTCATTCCTTTATTTATGACTCGTACTTTATTAAAAATGAATGCAATCGCTGGAACAATATTTGCCAGTTTTTGCATCGAGAATGCCTACAAAGGCAATAAAAAACAAAGGTTATAAGAAAATGGGACAAATGTTGTAAAACGGAAGAAAAGTAAAGGTGAGGATTGGAATTGAATTTCTTGCAACTACATTGCAAAACGATAGCCAAATTAATCATAAATTTCTGTTGACAGTTAAACGGTGGATTTATAAACCATCAAATGAAGACGTATTGCCGATTTTCATAATAATGATATGGTCACAAGGATCCTCTGCAGAGATTAAAAGTTGTTATTCAACAGCCGTTACAGCTACTGTCATATCTCTAGCTAGATACCATAAGTTGTTGTGGCTGATGTCAAAGCGAAGTTCACGTTAAACTTTGACTTTTACGATATTGCCAGATTTTAAATGAATGGACCCATGGGTGAGCTTGGTAAAAAAGGGAGTGACATATGCTACATAAAATATGATACTAAGAGACTTGCGAAATCTCGATGGTAGCTCATCGAACCTTTGATGTTCCATCTCTTCGAATCAATTTGGAATTAAATTGAGACCAAAAAAATTATAAAAATTTTTTTTAAGCAGATAATCTACGAAACCGAAAAGCTTTTTTTTAAAATCACTTTTATACTTTTGTATAACGGCTGACAGAAAGATAAAAAGGAAAGCCGGTAAAATTAAATAGAAGAAATAACAACTTCGAAATATGTGATAGATGGGACACCTTTTCCTTCTTCAATCTATTTATCGTTGAAAGTTTTTTTAATAAGGTGTATTACGCCTGTGAATTATGGTCACACTAAATATCAGAAAGAATATTTTAATTGAAATATTAATCGTAAATGTGATGATATTATATTAAAATATTGTATGAATATTATATTAAAATATTGTATGAATATTATATTACACTTTTAGTATATGCTTTAAACTATAGTCATATCTCTATAGATTCACTCGATTTCTATTCTAATTCATCACTGTAATCAGGTTCTTCTTCTGACTCCTCTTCCTCTCTGGATTCTTCAGATTTCTCTTCTAATTCTTCACTCTCTTCAGGTTCTTCTTCGGGCTCCTCTTCCTCTTTGGATTCTTCAGATTTCTCTTCTAATTCTTCACTCTCTTCAGGTTCTTCTTCGGGCTCCTCTTCCTCTTTCGGTTCTTCAGATTTCTCTTCTAATTCTTCACTGTCTTCAGGTTCTTCTTCGGACTCCTCTTCCTCTTCGGATTCTTCCGATTTCTCCTCTAATTCTTCACTGTCTTCAGGTTCTTCTTCGGGCTCCTCTTCCTCTTTGGATTCTTCAGATTTCTCTTCTAATTCTTCACTCTCTTCAGGTTCTTCTTCGGGCTCCTCTTCCTCTTTGGATTCTTCAGATTTCTCTTCTAATTCTTCGCTCTCTTCAGGTTCTTCTTCGGGCTCCTCTTTCCTCATCGGATTCTTCTGATTTCTCTTCTAATTCTTCACTGTCTTCAGGTTCTTCTTCGGACTCCTCTTCCTCTTCGGATTCTTCCGATTTCTCCTCTAATTCTTCACTCTCTTCAGGTTCTTCTTCGGACTCCTCTTCCTCTTCGGATTCTTCCGATTTCTCTTCTAATTCTTCACTGTCTTCAGGTTCTTCTTCGGACTCCTCTTCCTCTTCGGATTCTTCTGATTTCTCTTCTAATTCTTCACTGCATTCAGGTTCTTCTTCTGATTCCTC